CCCGAGCCCGGCCTGAAACACAGTCGGGCTTACTGTGTTAAGCCCGAGGTCAGGCCCGCGGGCCTAATTATATGACCAAGCCCGGCCGGGGTGCGGGCCGGGCCGTCGGGCTACCCGGCCCATGAACAGGTCTACTTGTGTTCATGAACAAAGCTACTCTATTACTGTTCCTATCTTTTAAGCTAAATTTGGAAAGATTATAAATACAAATATAAACAATGCACAACTGTAAATATAAGGTTTAGGAGGCATTCTTTTTTTGGATTTTGAGAGGGGGGAAAGTTGGTCAATGGGATTTTGGTTTCCATTGACCAAGAATTACTTGTTCTTTATTTTTTTCGGATTTATATGGGGATAAGGGAAAGTTTATTTTTCTGGGTACCACTTATCCAGGGGTAAGTGATGCCCATCTCCTAGGTGGATAAATAGCTTTTCCACCTAGGGGGTTGCCAACACTTGAATGGGACAAAAATGCCTCTTTTTAATAATAAATTTTTATGGTTAAAATGGTCATTGCCTTATTTACATGAGAAATAAAAGTATATGGATAAATGCACTTACCGGAATAAGTGTTTCTTAGGAAAAACTTACCCAAGTGACTGCATTTACTAGGGTAAATAACGAAAAAAGAACAGGGCTTAAAAATACAAAAATACAAGATAGTGTATATATATATATATATATATATATATATATATATTTATATTTGTACTCAAAATCACTTCAATTTTGAATTTAGAGTTCAACTACGAAACATTCATTAATATTGATTGCTCGCTTAAATCAAGATTTCAATCAATCATGTTAAAGTTTGCTTACTTTTCATTAATTCTTTTCACAAAATGTAATTTCACATTTAATAACCATCATATATGTATAACCAATCACATCTTTTTCTGCACAATGCAGCAGATGCTGCATAAATTTTGCCTTGGTCGTAAGAAAGTACTCTCTCCTAGCAGCATATAATTGGTTTAAAATGACTATTTAAAGCACTTGTTATACTTCTCTCTCATTTTGCTTTGGACCCGACAGCGTATATAATGTAATAGAACTTTTGCTGCTGCATTGGGATTTCTATTGTGAAGAAAAGTTCCCTAGAGGCCAAATTCCTCTCTTGAAGATCATCATGTTTTTTAGGAATTACATATTATACATTGCAGGAGATGAAGAAGGGCGGGGACAGAGCAGGTATGAATCTGTGGTGTAAGGTTTAAAGTATCACAATGTATTAATTAATGTATATATAATATTTATATAGAGTTAATGGTTAAAATGATTTAAAGAGTAATTATTATTATTTACTTCAAAAAAGAAAGAGTAATTATTATTTTATGGGATTCCTTGCAAATAAAAATTCTGCAGAAATCATGGGAATCTAGTCACATATTGTGAATATACATGTACATGTAGAGGACATGTTCCCAACGTGAGCAGGGCTTTTGCTTGATGGAGGTCTGGCTCTGCACAGGACCACAGCTATTTGCAAACTATCTTACACAAAAATTTTAAATAACAAAGAGTTTCCAAACTCAGTAAACTATCATACTTCAAACCTTGGGCTGTGGTCCATTGATCTTACCACGGAGAGCATGCAGTCATGCCGGTTTGATCCTACGCCTCATTTGTGGTGAGATGCCGAGCCTGCAGATGAGCCCAGATCTCTTGCAAGTAAAAACTCTGTTCACATAGCATCCAACCGCATATTAGGGTATCTCCCATTCATGGGGAAATGCTTCAAAGGTGCGGCTGAATTCCCATGCTTTCACAGTGTGAGCAGAGTTTTTGCTTTCAGAGAATCCCATCACCCTGGAGATCATGATGTTAGATCACAGATTTTGGGTTGTATTCATAGTTTTCTCTCAAACAATTATAATGATGGGGGCTGCAAACAAGAAGTCTCCGTTTCAAACAATGTCTACGTCCTTGTGCCAAATCTTCAAAATATGCTTGCAGTCTAATATTTATGTCAGAGGTGTCATTTAACGGGCATTTCTTCTTAATAAAAAGAGGAAGCCTTATGAAAATCCTTGATATATTCTAAACATTTTGGGAAGATCCAATTCCATGTTGAAAAAATTTGACTGGTTCTCAAGCTTTCTCAACATCAGACAGATCCATGGTCACAGATTTCATACCACAACCTTCATGTACCCAATTTCTCTAAATTCCCGACTCCCACCAAAAAATCACTCAGGATCGCATTTGGACTCCAAGATATACCACTAAAATTTTGACACATCATCTGATGCTTAACTGACCATCACCCACTGAAATTTTATAAATAAAACTTGATAAAATATAAAACCTTTATAAACAAAACCTAACTAAGTACTTACAGAATACTCCAGAGCCCTCACGTTCCCAGGCTCAAACCTTGCTCCTCAAACCATTAACGACAACAAGCTTTCATCAATGGTGTTCAAACAGCAACCATGATTCTTAACGGCAACGCCATTAGTGTTAACAGAAAGTTTCAAACATCGAAAGAGTGTTTAAGGCCCCAAGGGTGAACTACTGTGTTTAGGCTTTTTCGTCCGTCCTTCTTGAAAAAACATTTTCTTTTGCCTAGATTATATATTTTGATGAGAAGTAGAAACAAAGCTCCCATTCTCCAATTCCGTTTCTAATCTTGAAAACCCTAAAATACAGAAGCCAGAAAGGGAGAACGAAAAAGCTAATGAACCCACTGATTTGTATCAAGAAATCCCTGTAAATACTAAAATCTGAAACCCTAGACTCCATTTAAAATTGAAAATTTTGAGAGTCTACCAAGAAAGAAAACCTTGTGTGAGACTTTGGAGCTATTGTTTTTACTCGCAGAAGCTTCATGTGGAGGAAGAAGAGACGTCTCGTATCTTGCAAATCCAAAGGCAGAACAACGTTGTTTACCCCATTAATGGTTGGGGGAGAAGGATTTGAGTTGCATTTGAACCGAGAACATGAGCGTTTTTCTTTCTTTATTTAGAACGTGAGGGTTTGTTTAAAAACGTGAGGGAACAAGGGTGAGAACGTGAGAGTTTCGATGTTTTTGTCAGTATTTAGTTTTTATTTACAAAAATTTTATATTTACCAATTTTTGTTTAAAAATATTTTTATCAGTCATTACTAGCATTAAAGCTTCAGCCGGTTTTAGGTATGACCAGAAGAGCAGCGAATGACGTGTCAAAGTTTCAGTGGACTCGAAAACAAAACCCTTCAAATTCAAATGCACTGAATCCAACCCAGGGTTACTATTTACTAACATTGGGCCTGTCCGTATTTTTCCACAAAATATAGGCCTATAGAGTAAATTACTTACAGACTGCTATCCTGTACTTAGGGGGTGTAACATTTGGCGCCTTGAAAATACCAACCTAAACTTTCAGATTTAAGCATTTTGCTCCACCGTTGGCATCCTGTTACTTAACTTGAAAAAAATATTCTCATGCCACTGTCATTTGCGTGTTTAAACATTTCTAAAACCCTAAAACGCCCTTATGACACCCTTTGTAGAAAATAATAAAATACAAAAAATGAAAATGAAAAGAAAAGTAAAACAAACTGCATATAATATAGAAAATATGACAAAATATAGAAAAAGAAAAAATTGCAGAAAATACAACAGAGAAAAAAAGGAAAATACATATAACAATAAAATTACAAAAAAAAAAAAAACTAAAAATGCAACAAGAGATACTGTACTTTAAGAAGCCTATTTTTGTTATTTTGATATTTTCTCCTCTCAACCATGGACATTTTAGTAGCTTTACCTCTTTTTCTGATAAGATATTTTAGTAGTTTTACCTTTACCATCAAATCTGTCAACGAGGCAGGGGCAAATTGCTGGAATCTTAAAGTTTAGGGTGGGTCTTTGTTACAAATGAAAATTAAGGGAACAGGCGCTTTAGTTATTCAGCAGGCTGTGGAACCAACGATAAGGTTTCACGCCAGTATTTAGACACATGGGCCCATATCTTTTATAGTAGGGCCTATGAATTTATTACTGGGGAATCTCGTTATTGGTTTCACAGTCCGCTGAACAGTTAAAGCCTTCGGTTAATCTGAATTCAAATTAAGGAGGCCAAGTGTCACTATCCTCAAAGTACAGGATAACATCTGTCCCTCCCCAAAACTTGTATTGGCGGGTGCCTGTGCACTGGGAAGGGGCTAACTCAGGTTGTCTAGACCCTCGTCAGTTGTCTCCATCTGTAGTTTAGTAAAGATTGATTCATCTGTTTTGCTGCAAGTTCTAGTTTAAGGGCAATAGCAAGAGAACAATGTGACAATAGAGCTTAGTAGAACCGATTAAAGTGGAATAACACGAATTTTGCACTATGACAAACTTGATTTCTGAGTCCCCCCCCCCTTTTTCCTCTTTTTCCTTCATTTCTTTCCTCTTCACTTACATAATACCCCGTGGCATTGAGCCAATTCTATTGAAATCTCTTTGTATCTATTGATTCGTCCCAAAGTTCACTACCATCTACTCTATGGGATATATAATCATTATTCTCATCTCCATAAGATTTCAGCTTTGCCACCATAACCCACATGTTAGCAAGTTCATTCTCAAGATAAGCTTCTCTTTGTTTAGATTCCTCCACCTTCTTCTGAAGCTCTGCTTCTCTTTGATCCTTTTCTATCAGTGCAGCTTCATATGACAGCTCTCTCTCTCGACTCATGGCTAGTTCTCTCTTTATGTCTGCAGATCCTGCTTGGTCATGCCTCTTGATATGTCCATCTCTTCTGCTATTTCGAGCAGTACCAATGGGTTTTCGCTGGGAGGAGGAATTCTTTAGTGTAGCCAAGTCAGCAGCTAGTCTCTCATTATGGTTCATAAGCTTGGCGACTTCTTCTGATAATGCCTTCAGCTCCACTGCTGCAGCAGATGCCAACCCCTTAGCATATGAGCTCTCTTCTGCCAGCTTTCGATTTCTGATTTCAAGCAGTTCTTTTGCTTCTGTTAATTCAGTCATTTTCCTCTTCTGTTCTTCAACCTCGGTTGCCTAATTGTCAAAGAGAGCAATTATAATGTTAACCAGGCTTACCATTTCATTCAATATAATTCTACGGCATAATATAAACTGATGTATCACATGCAAAAAAGAAATTCTACAATATCATAATAAACAGGACATTTTCTTCTTCTACTAAGAAGCAAAATGTTTATCATATATTCGTATTCCATATTATCTATCTTGATCTAAGGTGTATATCTTCTTTTGCTAATTTGGCTCAAAGTTTAAAATAGAGATGTGCAAAGTGTCAGGTAAAATTGATTATGCTATGTGTTATCCTGTAAATTGGGTAGGCTTGGGTGTATGACACCGATATCTTGTGTTGAAATATTTTAATTTGGGATCTCTGGAGTTTCCAGACTGACATAAGTTGCACACAAAAGCAACACAGTTCCAGGATTAATACAAATATCAAAATAAATTATTCTAGAAGTGTATCATATTTGTGCTTCCAGTATAGTAAAAGATGTAATAGTTGTATCAATAGAAGATGCCGTGATAAGGGGTTTCCTACAGAATTAGTTGGGATCTTGCTCTATGATTGTAGCTAACAGGATAGCCCTTAGATTAAGTTGAGGTCTCTCTCTCTCTCTCTCTCTCTCTTGAAGTATAAAAATAAGAGAGCCCTTCTCCAAGGATTCAAAACAATTTCCCCCCTGTAGTTCAATCTGTAGGTGACATGAAAGTTACTGGAATCTGGAAGTGGCAATCATTCAATAGCTCTCTATATACTTGTAGTATCCTATTTTAAACCTTTAATAAAGAATGATATAGTTTGACATCATGCTGATTTTACTAATGCAGAAAGTTCACTTGCTAAGAATCCAAAAGCAGTAGTCTTTCAGGTAGAAGAGTTCTGTTTTTGGTATTTTGATTTCTTAACGTAAGCCTAGTGTTTACATATTCCATGATCATGCTTTAATAGATTGGAATTGGTATTCCCAAAGTTATTTTTTTTTTTTGAAAAAAGGTAAAGTAAGAATTTTATTGCATAGCACACACAAGAAAAGAATACAACATACACCCAAGAGGAGAGGGCAGGACAAACAAACCAGTCCCCCCACCTGGGACAAACATCACATTACACATCCCATAAGCTCTTCGAGTTCAGCAACAGGAACATATTCTGGTGCTTGAAGTCATCTACAATGGAAACCCAGGTCTCCGATCTACCCACAGCAATACTAATTAACCCATCAATGCCTTTTCGTTTAATGTTAGAGAGTCTAGCAGCAATCCTTCACTGAGCAAGGCACCGACCAATTCAGACCAGCAGCTTTGATGAAATGCCACCAGATCTCAACAAGTTACCAGGAAATGGATGCAAAGATGGTCAACAGACGCAGCCTCCCAGCCACAGAGGCCAAGCTTAAGTCCTGGGTCAGCAAATTGCTTCTCAAAATAAAACTCTTGGTAAAACACTTACAAAGGGCTGCAGCCCAAACCAAGAAATTCAGCTTCAAGGGGACATTGGGTTCCAGACCTGCTTGGTTGGAAAGCATATTTAGTTTGACCCATATAATCCACACACAGATGATTTAACAGAAAAATGCCCATCATAATTCCATCTCCATCTCCAGATTCTCCACTTATCCATCTGATTTACCTCAACAGACTGATCCTTCAACAAATGAAGCAGCCCAACAACCCAATCCCGGAAACTTCTCCTGAATCTGGGACTCCAAATCACATTTCCCCCCAATAATCTCATAAAACTCCGCAACTGAGGCATCCTTATTCTTGGCTAATCGAAATAATTGAGGGAATAACTCTTCCAAAGAAGTTCAGCACACCAATGATCCTTCCACAACAACAACCTGCTACCATCACCCACCTTGTAGCCAATACCCTTCGAGAAACACAGGATGATTTTCATGATTCCTTTCCAAAGAGAGCAGCCATAGGAAGACAGAGTATAATAGGTTAGCTTCATGTACATGTAAACCAAACATTTTTATTATTATGAGAATGATTCATTTTATTTCATCAATGGAAACTTGTCTAGGTTAGTATGAGTTTGTGGATGAATTTAATAGGTTAGCTCCAAATAGCTAGAACTGAAAAACCAATAAATAGGTTTACATAACTAAAACCTGTTCTTGTATTGGCAAGTCTTCATTAGCATCTCCAAGGACTGCATCTTCTTTTCTGAGAGCAACTTCTTCTTGGAAGCTTCTCTCTTCAGTGTAATGCTGTGAATGTGCTGTTACTGAAACTGAACTAGAACTCCTCAGCTCTTGTGCTTCGGCCAGCTGTTGTCTCAAGGAAATGATTGTTTCCTGCAATCCTTCACACTCGCGGATCTGCAAGAAAAAGGATATTTGACAACGAATCAGTTACCATTGCCAATAGTATAAAATATTTGTTACACTTCACCTTTTGCAGGTAGGGGACATGAAATCCATGGGGAATCCAAATGCTTGACCAGATACATATCACCAAAACTTTAGGCCCAAGTAATAAATTTTGTGAAATTTTGGTAAGACTTGGGGGGATATTACTGACTTGAAATCTATACAGGAAAAGCTACTTTAACTAAAAAGGTAAGCCTTTATTTATTTATTTGAATTACTTATAATTGTATTATTCTAAACCAAGATGAACAATTCCCTTGATACTAAATTCAATAAAATAGTAATACTTCTAACGAATTTTGCATCCAAAGTCAATTAAGCACTAACTGAACCATGCTGTATCTTATTTACTTTTATGTTTCTTGTTATATACTGTGCTTGATAATTTGTAGATGATGTGCTTAAACAGCTCCAACACACAAGATCCACCCTTAAACAGTTATAGATGATGTGCTTGATAATTTGTATAAATGTAGATATACATGAAACAATAAATGGATAAACCACTATGTAAGAGTTAATTTAATTTGGTACAGAATGTAATAATATTTTGGGAGCATACATTGGGTAATGGCTACTTTATTTGCTAGCTGGGTTGTTTAATGAAGAAAACATAAACAAGCCAGCAATCTTCCACATGGCAAGATGGTTATGTTCCTTAAAAGGCCCTGCATGTTTCTCTAGCCACCCTCTATTCATTTTACAATTTCAGCCCCAAAGCCATTGTCACATGTCCAGAACAAGCCTTTTTATTGTCGGAAAACTTTAAATTAAAAAGTATGAAACTAAAGATTGGTAATATCATTCAGGAAAAATACCAATACAAGGTATAGGACTAATGTGAACTGGAAGATTGAACACATGACCAATCATACTCATGTAATTGTGATACATGTAAACCTGTAGATGCCTAACATATTGGTACCAGACATGATACGTACCCTATGCAACGGAAGTGAGCATGGATGCTTCTAATATGCTGAACAGAAGTAACACATAACAAGTATATAAGATGGTATTTTTAATGAATTGTACTATGAGATATCAATATATTAGAAAATTAATTAAATTTGGCAAAATGTAACAAATGAGGTCACTCTCATTTTTGCACTCATAAAGCTCTAGGTGCATTGGTTGTAACAGTTTTAGTACCTTTTCGTTGAGCTGCTCTTGAATTATTCTGTTATCCGCAACCTTCACCTGAAACAAATGATGCATCAAAGTTCCTCACATATGATAGAAACTTGAAAGAAGCATGACAAATACTGAAGGCTATGAAACATCAGACAAAACAACCAAGTCAGGGATAGTATGATATAGAAGCATATAAAACCAATATATCTAACATGGAATTAGAAAGTCTAGAAATTCACATTCACATGTTGAGAGCAGCATGGATCCAGGTGAGGAGGTGGGCGCATCCAAAAACCAAAATAAATAAATAAATGAAAACTCCATGGTAGATTCTCCTCTGTCAGTGTAGCAGCTCTCTCATTGGTCCTTTCTCCATGTAGACCTCCTCCCCCAAATCCATTACTCTCTTCTTAGTTTATGTGGCAGTATGGCTGCAAATGGATTGAATCAGATTGGATGTAGGTAGATCCAAATTTGATTCATTTATATTGGAATTCCAATTGTATCTTATCCATTGGATTTATGTTGGAATTCCAATTGTATCTTATCCATTGGATTTATGTTGGATATTAATTGAATTCAAATTGCAGTTGGATATTGAATAGTATAAATAAATTAAACTAAAATTGATCAAATGTCATATAGTATTAAAAAATGAACAAAAAAAAAAAAAACTTTGATGTTATACTTTATGGACACAATTAATTGAAAATTACTTATATGAAACTTGAACCTATGGAAAATTTATTAAAACACAGCATTCAAATCAACTTTACTAATAGATACAATATAAATTTTAAGTATATGAGCGTATATATTTGAAGCAATTCAAATTGGATTGGATAGGGGTGGATCCATATTCAATCCAATTATAAATGGATCGAAATCAGATTACACTTAATGAGATTGAATCCGAATTTGAAAAGATACAAAAGGATACCATATGCAGCCCTAAGTGGCAGCAGCCAATTTGTCCCTACTTTGGTTCACCTACTTCCTATGGATCTAATATGGGTTATCTCTAAATCTTACTTTATCTTTTACATATCATTCTAGCTATACTCACTTGACCTTCTCCACTTTTTTCCTCAACTCTCACCTTTCCACCATAACTTACTTTGTCAGCACTATTATTATTTTCATTAGTAGTGCTCTAATGAGAGTGACCTCACGATAAGAACCATAGTGTGCACTCTTGAGCTTCCATTTCTCCATATACAAAGGATCAGTGCCCACTATGAATGGATTTCATTTAAATATTGTTATACCAAAACTCCCCGGTATTGGATTGATCATTGATCATATATGTTCAATTCAAATATTAGAGTTTATTGATGTGGTAAGGCTAATTGATCTGCAAATAAGTTACAAAATTTTCATGATTAAATGTAACCAAACAAGATTATTTAGGCCATTTGACTGTGGGTCTTGACTTTCCATACAAGCTCTTATTGAAGGGTGCCCTATTTTTAGAACCTCCCTATTTCCATTTCTTTATTATTACATTAGAAACTCAAGAAGTTTAATTCTGTTCAGTTCTTTTCTAAATAAAAGCATAACATAACTCCAGAACCTTCATACCATGTGTCACATACACAATACTGTTACCACAATTATTTTTCCATTTTCATATCATATTAAACAAGCTTCTTAAAATGATTGTGCTTGTATGATCCATATTGAAAATCTTAACCATCAATTTCGAAAGAGAACAAGGATCCTTTGATGTTACTCTACTGGGCTGATTCTGTAAGGTAAATTTTTATATGCTAAGCATTCAAATTTATTCAATTAAAACCAAAAACATATTACAGCATAAAAGAATAGTATTTCAACTATTGAAAAGTCATTGCCTGATCAAGTAATAAACTAAGACCATATAACATATAACAAAAATTTATTGCGCCAATATAATAACAAGAATACTTAATATTTTTTAGTAGAGTTGTTAAACACAATAAATAATAAAAACATTGTGAGAAGTTAATATCAATAATTAACCAATAAAAAACACCTTTAAGGATTATACACGTTTCCATAAAGTTATATCAAATTTTAAAATTACCATCATAATTAGTTCAATTGAAAAATGCCTAATATATTCCCCCAGGCAAAAGGAGAAATTTCTGCCTGCCCAACTTAGATTAGAGAAAATTACCTCAAGTTTGAAGGACTTCTCATTCAATTGAGCAACCACTTCAGCAAAAGACTGCAGCATAAAATGATACCCAGATGAACAATAAGCTAATAGGTGAAGATAAGCAAATAACTTAGGCACTAGCCTTTACCTGTGACAACTCCAAGGTGTCCTTGTTTTGAGATGTTAGGATGGAAACAGCAATCTGTTTTTCTAGGGAAGCTATCTGTTGTTTTTTCACCATGATTTCATCATTTAGCTTTTGTACATTCACCTTCAGTTCAAAAGATCATCGGGATTTTTCTTATTATGCATATTCATATTATTTAGTAATGCAGAAACAAAAATTTTAAGTTCATTACATGAATTTGTTCCTTCTTAGGGTTGTTTGCAGCCTCTTCTGACAAGCGCTTTAAAGCAATTTGGTGGAGCGCCACCTCTCCAGACAAAATATTTTGCTGTTCTCTTAGCAGATCAATTTGGTCTGTCATTTTTATGCTGGCCTGACATCATTAGGAAAATCTTAAATTTGAAGACACCCGCATGTAGAAAATGTAATTGCTAACATGTAATATTCAAGAACCAACATGCTATAGTTTATTTGCAAAAGACAACAACGTTACAGGAACCTGCCAAAGTTATGCTACTAATGAAATCCACTGGGAGGAGAAAAATCAAATTCTCAGAAATTTGAGAGATAATTGGCCTAAGTTTTTTCCTTTTTATTTTCCTGGGCAAAGGGATCCATGACTCAACTCAACGAAGCTTCATCTCAACTCACAAAGCATAATGCACATTATTTCATCATGAAAACAATAAAAAATGATGACAAAAAAAAATCCAGTTAAGAAACAATACACACGGTCTGGGTCAATAGCCCATCCATTTTTACCACGTGTCTCTCTTCTTCTCAAATAGACTGCTACCCATTCCTCTCTTCTATTTTTCTGTTTCTCTCCTCTGAAACCAGACTTGTTATATGATATCAGAGTAGAGATTGCAGTAATCCAGTTTTCTTCTCTCTCTTTTCTCCTTTATTTTCTTTTTCTTCACTGCAATGGTGCAACCTGTACTGCTTGCTATAGATCTCTGAGAATTCAGTCCAATCAGGTGTTTTGACTTGAGTAAGGAAGAAAGAAAGGTGATGGAATGGAAGCCCCCAGGTACCAATAAAATCAAGCTGGACTTTGGTGGAAGCTCTTTAGGTAACCCGGGCCTGGCAGACATTGGTGGTTTGTTTAGAGACTCTTCAAGAAAAGTATTGGCAATGTATGTATTCAGGTCCTTTGGGGGTGGGTCACTCTCAAAAGCCTAAGCTGTTAGCGCTGCTACAATGTCTAAAACTTGCTAAGCAAGCAGATTTAAAAAACCCGGAGGCTGAAGGTGACTCACGACTAGTGATTTCTTGGATTACCAATAGGGGTAATGTTCTTGGGAACTGTTGTGGATTTAATTCAGATTTTGAATGGGGTGGTTTTGGACCCTTCAAAAAGGGATAGTATAATTTGGACTTTGTCCCCCTCTGGGGCTTTTTCTTGGGCTTCTTTCTTTAAGTCCTTGGCACAACAGACCAACAATTTTATTCAGTCTTTCCCAGTTAAGAAAATATGGGGTGAGCAGATCCCTCCAAGGATTGGAGCTTTTTGTTGGGAGGCATTCCTGGTAGATGTAACACATGTGATTTACTCCAGAAGAAAAAGGCCAAATTGGTGCCTGTCCCCAAATCGGTGCACCCTCTGCAAGGCTAATGGTGAAAGCTCCTACCACTTACTAATTTCCTGTCCTTTTGTTTCTGATATATGGTAATGGTTTATTTCTTTATTTGGTTGCAGGTGGACCCTTCCACCAGATATACAAAACTTGTTTACCACCTCTTTCCTTAGATGGCCTAAGAAAAGGGGTAGGGTTATGTGGAGGTGTGTGATGGCTACCATTTGCTGGACTATATGGGAAGAGAGGAACTCTAGGACCTTTTCTGATAAGGAACAAGGAAGGTATCATTGAGGTAATATTGGTTAGGATGGTGCATTGGCTGAAGTCTTTGGATATGTTTGCTGATGTCTCTACAGTTGTGCTATTGAATAGCTGGCTAGAAGTGGAAAATTCTGCTTCTTTTTCATCAGTTGCCTCTTGCTTATGGTCTCCACCAGCCCAGGGTGTGAAAAATTAAACTTTGATGGCAGTAGTGAAGGTAATCCTGGGCCCTCGGGTGTTGGTGGGGTGTTCAGAGATGAGAAGACTCAAAGCTGGTTACAGAAGGACAATGGACTGTGGAAATATGCAAATGAAAGAAGGGAAGCTAAATGGTTAAATAGGTGGGTGGAAGTTCAGTTTCAATGGGTGAAGAGCTGCAAATGCTTTTGCAGATACATTGGCAAAACAAGGGTTGGGAAGGGAACAAATGTTTTGGACTGTACTGTAATCCTCTTTTCTTTTCTTTTTTTTCGGGAGAGTTGAGCCTCTTTACCTCTTCCCAGATTATTGTAATTTTATTGTCCACTAATAAATTGATTTCTGTTATTGATAAAAAAAAAAGTGAGATTGAAAGCTTGGCAAGGGAGCTCAATGCCTGTTTTACATGGATTAGGAGGACTGCCAATGGGATGGCTGATTGTTTAACTAAACAGGGGGTCTACAGGCAGCAGCTTTTTTGAGCTGTACTGTAATATTTTGTTGGGCATAAATTATCTTGCTGTGCCTTCTGTAATTCTGTAACCTGTTTACTCAGTTATTAATAAAATTCTTCTCTTTCTAATAAAAAAATGTTCCTTATCAACTCCAAACAATAATTAAGTAGAAATCCCTATTTTAAGTAGATTGTTATCTTTATCATTGACCGAAAATTATATTTTACAAGATGTTCATCCAAAATGAATATTTGAGAAATCTGTATTTTAAGTAGATTTTTTATCTTAATTAGTTGTATGCATCACAACTAAAGACAATTTCATTCAGCTAGATACCGTCCAACATAGTAAGGCAAGTCACCACAAAATCCAGAGAGAGAGAGAGAAAGAGAGAGAGAGTAAGCAGTAGCCCATAAGGAGAACGCATATGGAATTGATAAGTTCAAAGGATATACCAACGGTGCATCTGATACAGAAAATCTATCATCATGAACTTCTCTATCCTGTCCAACCTCCAACAAAACATCGACAGGAGTGCTTTCAGTAAGTAAAGAATTAGAAATTCTAGGTTCTGTGGAACAATTAATGCTTTCTGCCTGAGGAGTTGAAGGTGCAGTAGTTGACTTTCTCACACTTGATTTATCACCATCTATGCTTGTCAATGTTGTGAAGCCATTATCTCGCTTCTGCTAATATAATATTATATAAACATCAACTGAAGAAATTACTGGAACACTTTGAGAACACTACAAGCATAAAATAATGTATGGCACCATGAAGTATTAGCATGTTTCTTTAGTAAAACAAGTTGTAACATACCCGCAACTTGAACCAATTTAGCAATCCATGCTTTCGGCTTTTTTTTTCCTCCTTGGAAGAATCATCTGTATTTTCACTGCTGCCTTCTAGAGAAACATACAAGTCAATGTTTTCGTCATCCAAGATCAAATCTCGCCTTTTGTATGGGAGGTATGCAATCTGTAGAAACAATTTATGCAATGAAATCAAGGAAAACTGGCAAAAAAAATAAATGAAAATTATCTATTGTGAGTTCTTTTTCTTTAATCATTTTAACTTAAGGTTATCTCCAACCTCAAGCAAACAGAGAAAGAAAAGAAGGACGAATTCTATAATTCTGTGTTCAGATTGGAGAGGAAACTGAAACACAGCTTAGAAAAGAATTTGATTTTATGCAATTTTCTGTATTTGTTGTTTAGCCAAAAAGCATGGCCAAGTAGAACCAGAAGGTAGTGGGTTTTTCTCAGCTAAAGAGAAAAGTTTTTCCAAAGGGTGGCTAGTCAAAACCCATTGACTCAAGGGAGGTTGGAATCCTCCTTCACCTTTGGCTCCCCTGAATCCAAATACAGCCTGACTATACATCCAACAGAATAGACACTGGATGTCACTAATTTATAGCCAGAGGAAAAAAATAATATGCAAGAGAATTTTCCAGTAAACTACCTCTTCTTCTCCAAAAGAATGCCTTCTCCTGTGACCAGGGTGTTGAGAAAATCTAGAAGATTGTGTAGCCTTTGTGGACACTAGAATTAACTTTGTCAACCGTTGAATCCTACTCAGAAGAACAGCTTTAGCTTCTTCTTCTTGTTCCAATCTTGATTGCAGCTTGACTTGACCATCTTCTAACTTTTTAGATTATATCACAGAAAAAGAATTTGGTCAAATTATCTGCAAAATTGTTTCAAATGGATATAGATTTCATGACAACCGTGAAAAGATCAATATAGAATAAGTAAAGAAATGACTGCACAAGCCGCCTCACTATTGATACCTTTTGTTTTAGAAGCATAATGTCATCATCAATAACATCTTTCAATGGTGGTACAGTAATGATACCCCTTTTCAGTTGTTCCAACTCTTCCTTTAAAATTTGGATCTCATTTTGGTATTTCTTGATGAGTGATTTCTCATCAATTATCTGTAGATGATAAGACTATGTCTGTCAGCTACCAAGTACAGGTATCACATAAATCATAAAAGATAGAAAGACTACCTTGTTTTGTGATGCTTGAATTTCAATATGTTTTGCACGATGGGCAAACTTCAATGTGTTATGTGTTTCTTCTGAATTACTTGATGAAGGAGTAACAGTGCAAATAAGCTGTAGTTTCAACCATAAATAGACACATAATTACACTGCTGAGAATTCTAAACAAACAGTGCTTTATTAAAATAATTTTGAAAGTTCTGAAGGAACCAATCTATAAAAACAAAATTAATTTTGATGGAACCATCCAGTTTCAATTAGAATTTACCAATTATATTACAACTTATATCAACAGTAGCATCTTGGGAGACTCACAGATACACGCCCATGACCGCTTAAAGAGGACTGAAGAAGCCTCGTTAGTTTAGAATTTCTGTAAGGTATATGAGTAGCCTTTCCATCTGTTAATTTTGATATAACCTGCAATTCTATAAAGCAAGTATTAACAAATTCCTAGAAAATCTTATCTAGAACTATAACAACCAAAATGATAATTGAAAGCACAAGCCTTCTGATTAGACATGACTGCAGATATAAGTAAAAAGTGATGGCACACAAAAATGTCATAATAACTCAACATATGCTCGTAAGATGTTAAAAGGCTTGTGCTAGAAGGTGATCACTAGTGGTGGCAATCCAGATGAAACATAATGAACAAGGGATGTGGTATTTCGGGCAGGAGATTAGAGAAATTAACTAGATTATCAAAAGTATGGAGGCAACAGTTCATTGAATTCCTAGGTCAGCAAATGGGTTGGCTGATGCTTTAGCCAAACGAGGGGTTAGGCTGGTTGGTCACTTAAAAACAGGCTGTCTTGTATATCCTGTAATTCTCTTTATATTTTTTTATTAGTATAACATTTCAATTACTGATAAAAAGATATAAAATAAATAACATTTCACGCAGTTGTCAACATATACATTTTGACCTTTAGCAATCTGATTTTGGTTAAAGGAAAATCTAGAAAGGTTAGTGATGAGGGCAGATTTGGCCCTCTAGTGAAATTGCGACACGTGGCACCTCGTGACAACTAGGCAAGCACCCAGGCAACAACTTACCAAGTTGGTGTCCCCCCTGGGCACCGGTCTGGCTGGCCTGGAGCGACCTGCACGCGGCCTGGCGCGGCCTGCGCATGGCCTGCGCGACCTGGCCAGATCAGCCTGCCACAGGCGCCAACCTGGCAACCTGGCCCGGACACAGGCGCCGACCTGGCAATCTGGCCCGGACACAGGCGCCGACCTAACAACCTGACCTGGACATAGGCGTCGACCTGACAACCTGACCCGGACATAGGCGCCG